CCTAAACGACAACATACATCGGTTCTCTCTTCTTCCCGAATTCCAACACGAACCTCAAACCCATCCCCCTCTGTTCTCACCTCTGTCCGAATTCCGACACGAACCCTAGACCCATCCCCCTCTGTTCTCTCCTCTTTTCGCTTGCATGCTCGAGGCGATGTGCTTCCCATCAACACTTTCGAAGCTCAAAATCTCTGTACCTGGAGATTTCATTCACCGAAACTCAAGAGGAAGAAGGAGAGAGGAGAAGAGTTAGAAGCAATGGAGGGAGCAAAAGAAACTGGAGCGGAGATAACGGTTGATTCAAAGGAGTTACAGCAACAAAGCAAAGCTTTCGACAAGCTTACAGATCGCGTTGAGGATCGTCAGCTCAATTCGTCTCGTGTTCAATCGGTTTGTTGCTCTTTCTTCTTCTACGTAGACCGATCAGTTTCCATTCGATTAGTAATTCCGACTTGGGGAAATTAGGAGATTCTTAAATTTTGAGCTCAATTAGTAAAGTGATTGGCTTACAAGGTCAGTATCGTGTTTCAGGCTATGGCTTCGATTGCTGCATTTAGGGAGGCTGACCTCAATGCTAAGAGATTGAGGTAATATGGTTCTGTGTTATAAATTCTGGAAAAGTTGATTCTTAGCAGTTCTTAAGGAAGCTAGAACATCAGTCAAATTCGTTTGTTTAAATTGGATATTGGATATTGGATTACTCTTGTATTTGAGAATGTAGCAATGTCTCTGTTTTCAGTGAAAAAACCTTCTCTGACTGTTGCTAAAATTTGTGTTAAGTAGACTAAGAGAGTGAATTTTAGAGAGTATGTTTGATTCTTGACATCACTCACATCTAGATAGTATTGCTGCTGTAATAGCTTTTCCAAGAGAAAATATCAAGTGAAATAAGTGGCAGTTAATTGTGATTTAATGTGATTTACGGGTCAATATGGAAGAGAAGACTGAAGATGGAAGAGAAGACTGAAGTATAGGCATTTGGCGTATGACTCAGTTTGGTGTGATTCTTGTGTTTTTTTACTACTAAAACTTTTGTCATTGGCTTGTTTTTTGTTTTTCTTTTGGTTTGTTGGTTGTTTTAATTACATTTGCGATTTCAGTTTCTGTTTCTGTTTTAAATTTAGTATTTTGCAAATTTTTTTGTTGAATTTTGACAT